GCCACTTTGGCATAAAATGGTCGACCTTTAATAATGTTTAGGAAAAGTAGAAACATCTACTTCTTTATGACTGGGATTTTCTGATTTATCGGTGACTCATCGTGGGAGATTATTCTAAAGCAATTCCGACTCTACCGCAGCTGCATGGGTGTTGAGGAAGTTTGCTTCACGTTTTACTGAATCTAATTCCTTTATCGCTTTTGCTATCACAATCTTTTTTTCTGGAAAAGTTGTGTTCCTCTACAGGCAGAGCAAATAGAAAGAGTATATTATTGAATATACATATTATTGTAAATAAGTAATAAATTTTTGTTGAGGGCATTTTTCTGAGCTCTACCTAATAAAACTTAGATTTTCCTCACATAATCCTTGCTAACTTCATACGAGTTAAGAAGAAAAAACATTATCGAATCGCTGCTGAATCGTAACAAAATCGACTCATTTCTTAAGGGGAAGGTGACTTACAGCAACGTCAAAAGAGCCGACACAAGTGGTCTCCAAGCCGGGATTGACAGAAAGAATGGATGTGTTGAGTGTTTGCTGGGATTGACAAAGAATCATCCAATATAAGCTGCTCCGCTTTTAGCAATTGGACAGGCTGAAAAAAAGCAATCGGTCATAAGCGCTCTGCTTTCGCCACTGGAAGAGGAATTGTGTTTTTTAAAGGAAACCACAGCCAACACACATCGATAGTGACTCGCCAAAAGCTCCGCGAGCTTGGTTAGGAATTTTTTTGTCATTCACTTTACAACCCCAAGCCGCGTACCAATCGATTACCATCTGCATGATTTGGCTGTTGAAGAATTGACCTCAAGAGAAGCCTGTAAAAATCTATTTTCCAAACTTTTTACAAATTATCCCTATTATTTCTTCTTTGAGAGGCATAATTTTTAAAAATTGAAAAAAGCAAAAAAAAAAAAAAACAGTTGAGCAAAATAATGCATATTGGAACTGTTGACATAAACGGGGTTTGCTGTGCAAGCAGATCCTATTGGGATGCTCCTTACTGTAGTACCCGATAGAAGCTGAACCTCCAACTAGGCATATCAGAAAGGGAGAACTCGACTTGAAAAACACCATCCAGCAATATGTGCAACAACTGCTTGACAGGATGGCGTACAGACAGGAACCGAGCGCCATTCACCAGGAGTCAGTCAACACCTTGAACACGTGAATGGTGTGATCGGAGTAAATGAGCTCGAGCTGCCTCGATAGACCCGCGTGACCTTGACACATCTTAGGTTGGTCTTAGGTTAAACTCCTACATCTCCAACGTATGCTCTGCATGTGGAGAGTCTTCGCACGACACTAATCACCTCTACATGCCTTCTTAAACATACTCATCAAACCCCCTCTCCCTTTGGGCCTATTCCGTCGAAACAGCATGTTTCCTAGGCCTCCCACTAGATGAACTTAGATTGATCAAACCTGCACTTATGCTGGGTTAGTAAACCGTTACAACAATAACAACAACAACTACAGCAACAACATGCATATTTGGCATAAGTCGGGAAAATTAAGTTTCCAATTTAATTAAAAATAATGGATGTCTTGTTACTCGTCCTAATATATCTTTTCATGTCATGTAAGGAACACGTCTGCATGTTGTGCCTTAAATTCACTAACTTCAAAGTAATTAATGTTGTGATTTTGTTTCGCATTTAATAGAATTTTAAAACTCAGCAAATAAAAATTCGTATCTTTTATCGCTGGCCAAAGTCTGAAAATTTAAATACTTTTTTAAGCAATAATTTATTTACTTAGATTCATTTGTTATGCCCACAGCATGTGGACTTTGTCCGCTATAAATTATATTTTTTTTAAACAGATTTTCAGCAATTTTAGTGTTTTTTCACTGAATTCGTTTATTTATATTTTATTTAGAAAAAAACTCATGCGTTAATTGATTCTTCAAAAATGCTGCTCGAAATTTAAAGCGTTTAAAATAAACAAAGAAATCATTTTATGTGTATCTCATTCTTTAAATGAGGAACTGAAATATTTAGTATTTTTATTTTAATTTAGAATTCATAAGTGCACATGAGCACTAGTGAGCGCTTCAACTTACGTCGTATGAAGTCTAGGGAGCCTATTTAAATGTATAATGCTTAAAAACAGGTAAATAATTAGTTTACAAACAGTTACAATAGCTTTTTAGTAAGCGGCAAAACTAAGTGCATGCTTTGAACATTGCACCCGTGTGACAGGGATAATTAGCAGCTTAGAGGGAAAATAAATGGAAATAAAGTCATAAAGCAATGGACCGACCACCGCTGTACTTACGATTATCTGTAAGTAAATGTTTAAACAATCAATTGCATATTTGGCCAATAAAACATGACATTCGTGTAAACAAAATAAAATTTATATGTGTAAAAGTTTGTGACATTTATGAGTCATTCTGTTAAATTAAATTACGCTTTATTTCCGTACTCAAAAATATTTTCAAACAAAACAAGTACGAAATGCTGTTTTCGGTCATATCTCTATACATTTCACGTAGATATGAAATTTATTGCGAAATGCTAAGTTCGGTTTCGATCATTTTCCGGTTTGACATTAAGTTTAATTTATGCGTGGTTCTCGGATATATCTTTTGTCGGATTTTTGAGCCAAGACGTCATTACTGAACAAATCGGTTATTTTAATTATTTTAAAGTTGTCAATATTTAATTGTAGATAGGTACTTATGATACGAAAGCCGCGTTTCTGAACAAATTGGTGTAATTGTGCTGTATACTACAGTAGTACGATTGCGGTAATTTTCGATATCAATCTGTTGTGCATACATGTATGCAAGTAAAACAATAAGTTTCAAGTTCTTAAGTACTTTTTTGATAGGCTTTTGAACCAAAAATCTAAAATCTGAAAAATTGGTAATACATATGTTAAAGTTATCCGATTTGGCCGTTTCAGACTAAAAAACTGAGAGACTACTTTGCATACAAACAGACGGACAATCGTATAGCTGGGCATATATATTTATATATAATTAGCGCTTTGTAACCACTGAAGCGATTTTCAGGCTTATGGACATGGCTAAATGAAAGCAGCGCGCCATTCTGGTCAGATCATGCTACAGTTTTTGGTACTAACATACCAAAGGTTATTTTAATTAAAAGTAGTAAGAGCTTGTGGCTCAATTATGTAGACAAGAAAACTTACACTCTTCTCAAACTCACTAGCTATTCTGCTGAATAAGTTTTGTGTATAAGCGATTCACCAAGATGTAGGGAAGGTCACTTCATTTCAGTTTAGATTTCTTGTGTTAGGTCTAAGTGATATTTTATGTACGTAGTAGTTTTTCACCGTAGATGCTCTATAAACGCAACGATATCATTTCGTTTCTCTAACGAGAAAAATTAACTCAACGAAATGAAATTGTTTCGTTTCGGCGCTTTGTTATCAACACGAAATGAAATCGTTACCGTTGTAACATTTACATTTTAGCGCTTAACATTATCTGTTAACGCTTTAACATTATCTGTTAAAGATTTAGCATTAACGACAGAATTTCGTATTGAGTAAAAGCGAAATAAAATTTATTTTGATAACTGCTTTAATGTTAATATTTTCAAATGTTCCCACCGAAACGATTTGCCTCGATTTTTTGTAAAATTTAACAAATAGTAAGTTCAGTAGCAAATGCCAGTCCTTTGTGTTATCAGTTCGTCATAAATTTCATGTCTGAGTTAAGAAAGTTTACATAGCACGTCTGTCCATGGGTAGCTCAGGTTAATTGAGCTCAGAGAATTAACTAGGAAGATCAAAATTATGAAAAAAATGTATTCCAATAACTTATGATCTCAAGCATAAGGTATAATTGCAAGGCTCGTTATGGCATAATAGTACAAAATCCTGTTGATAAGGGGGACGATAATATGCAAACAATAAACAATATATTCGCAAATGTTTAGCAGAAGAAGGATGCTGTTAGTTCACCAACAAATTACAAAGGATTTATTTTTTGCTATCATAAGAATAATTTTCTTGGGAATCCCTGTTTCATTTTACCATACGTGTATATTCAAAAATAGTCAAGTCAATAGCAGTAAGTGCTACTTAGCAAACGATTTAGACAAGTATTTAAAATTGTAGAAAATTTTTTTCCAGTGCAGTTGTCATTTGGCAGGAAATGACAACCCTCTAAACACATTTTTTTGTCATAGACCATCATGAGTACGTTTGAAGACGGTGAAGCAAGGTTGAACATCGCTGCAGCGGTATTATGATAACCAAAACCAAATAAAATTTTCCATTTCCCAATACTTAAAATGAGAGTATAAAGACATGATGTTGCCAAAACTATGTCGTGGCTAACAAGTGTGATTCGAGAATTAAGTAATAATCTTTATTTTCCGTAAATATTCATATTTATTCGCAGGTTGAGAAAGTTTTGTCCTAATAGTGAATCTCTGAATTCACACAGAATTCGCTAGCTGGCTATTTTGAGACCATTTTCTAAAAAAAAAATCAAAATTTAATTTTGATTTTTACTTCAGGCTCTTCTACATTTTTCAAGTCAGAATTTATGTTACCAAAAAACTGGTTTGAGACAATTTTCGTGTTGGTTTAAAAAAAAAATTTGATGAAAAGTAATGAAAATTTTGGAGACAAGAAAAATGGTAAAATATTAATTAATAATTTAATAAATATTGTAATTATTTACTAAGGCTAAAATGATGTACTATTTTGAAATAATTTTTTCACCTTTTCTTCTAGTAGAGGGCGAACACTAGTTTCAACTATACAACAATATAATATTAAAGTACACAATTTGCATTTGGGCAAAGGAACTATTCCCGGGAAAATATTCTGAGAAAAAAATCAAAATTGTAAACACAACAAATAATATTAAAAACTCTTAAAGTTTATCATCAAAATAGCACACAATAAAGGCGAATATTTTGAAATTATTTCGACACGCATGTGTTGGTATGCAATGATGAATTTTCGTATGAAATCGAATGTTAATTAAATAAAATATTTTTAACACGTACAATTTTTAGCGTTAAACGCTTTGGTTGACTGGCGTTCTACTGCAGAATTTGGCAATGGTTTCGTGAATTTGAAAATAACCGCAAAATATCCGCTTAGCAAGTGTTGTGTACGTGCTGTCACAATCTTCGTTGTTGCAGTGTATTATAGTTTTTAATTTAATATATATTTATTATATTATTATTCTACGTTTTCAACACTCTTTTACGGTTTTCCATAAACGCGTAGAATTTAATTAATAATTTTTCGCTTATATTATTTTTTTTAATATCTTTTTCTTTCTCTGACTTTTCTGAGTATTTTCAAAAACGACTTAATTAACGATTCTAAAAACGGCGACGACAACGGCGAAGGCGCGTCTTAACTCCGTGTCTTGGCAGTTGGGCTTGCAATTGATTACTAACGTATTTTTATCACACGCCAACGGAATAAAGCACAAAACTCCACACAGTCACACCAGACACAACGAGTGGCACCGTCATCACGTCCCCGCCATTGAGGTAACTACATAGTATGTAGATTGCTTACGAAAAGGCGTTGAGACCAGCGCCTGCAAGTTGGTGGTAGCAAAAGTGGTGCTTACCTAGAGACAGCTGATAATCAAGACAAGTGTTGCGAGTCGACATGAGAGCCAACAGTGTAAAGCAAGCGAACTTTGGTACGCTCTTGGCTAAAATGTGTACTCAAAAAAATTGTTTATTAGATAAAAACAAAAGTGAGTGCTAGATGAGGTTTAAGTGTTGAGAGAAGCAGCGCTTAAAGTAATGTGGGGAATAATTATGTTGTAGTGATAATAAGAGGTTTGGAATTTCCGCTGTTACAGCACTTCATTATACTCATAACTATTTGAGACTTTGAGCTGTTGAGCTACTGACCAGTTGAGTGAATTCACTTGTATTCGGTGTATTAATTGATTTAAGTCATAGCCTTATAGCGTCAAAAGCTTAAACTTCGGTGCGGCTTAAAAAAGAGCGCAAGAGTATTTCGAAGAGTTTGCCAAGCACAGCTACAGCAATTAAAGAGTTTTCCATTATAAGAAATTAATTTTTTCACCGTTTGCAAAGGTGTTGGTTAGCATTAACACAAACACATCTCAATGGTATAAAGGTATTTACAAATACAGATTTTTATTATAGCCATAAACACTCGCAGACGGTGTTCAACTCACTCGCATCGAAAGCGAAAGTGAACCATGCTCAAATCCAGTTTTATCAGCTACTGTTGTGAGTTACATTTTTTTATTAAAATATTTTTGTGTTTGTTGTTGCATTTTGTGGTGTTCGACACCGTTAAAAAAAAATAACAGCATGCATATATACACACACACAGTCATAATTTTATATAGACATATTTATAAACGAAATAAAGTGGCGCAAAGTAAAAGGTTTGTAGTTGTTTTTTGTTGCTTGGTTGTTTCCTTCGTATTTTTGGAGGTTTAACTATTCACCTTCCATATTGTTTTTTGTTTGTTTTTTCTTTGACTATATTTTTGATTATTATTTTTATCCATTTTTAATTTCTATTATTACCTGTTGACACCGTTGACATGGTTTAGCACAATACAAAAGAAATAAATAAGTAAATATAAAACATAAAAGCCTTTTTTTAATTGATTAAATAAAAATACAAAAAAACTAAAAAAATATATAAAAAAATTTGATTAAACAGTCGCCAAAGAACACTTTATTACAAATATATGTAGAACTAGGGTTATTATTTGAGGTATGCCATACGTATATATATGTATATAAATATATATTTAGTACCATCTATATATAACCCTTTATGTTAAATCGGTTTCCGGTTTACAAAAATTGCTGCCAATATATATGTATATCAAGCTTGTCCCAAAACTAATGAAAACTAGCGCAAGATTGGATTTAAATAGAAAATAAAGTTCTTAGACGAAATAAGATAGGGTTATTTAAGCAATAATACAACGGGTAAATGGCCTCCACAACTTTCCATACACATACACACTCGTTTGTGGAAATATTCCATGAATATTCTGCATAAATGTGGCTTAATTTCATTGATGCAACGTTCAGTCTCCACCTCTAAAGCACGCGTGGTTGTGAGCTCGCTGCAATAGACCAATGATTTCAAAACACCCCATAGAAAGAAATCTAATGGTATTTAATCAAACGATCTAGGGGATTAGTTCTGATCAACAAATCGAAAGAAATGTTTCACGGCTTATATGATATGTAGGACGCTCCTTTTGACCCTCCAAATTAATATCATCAAATTAAGGTAAGCAGTGCTGGGTTCTCATGTCGTGGTATCGAGCACCAGTAATAGTCACTCCTTGATCAGGCTCATTTTCAAAACGCTTCCAGCGCAAGCAGTGACACCTTGCGGGTGCATGTGTTTTTCGACAATCTCATGTGGGTTCTCAACATCTCAAAAGCGGCAGTATTAACCATTAACAAACCCATCAAAGAGCAAATATGAGGCACAATTGCATGATTTTGCTCGAAAAATCAGCATCCATTTGTTAATGCTCAATAATCCAATCAACAAACTCTCTTCGCTTTACATGGTCATTGCGCTTCAGTTTTGTTGTGTTGTGTTAGTTGAACTTTGTAAGCATGCAGACACAGATCTTTAGTGAGCCTACGCTGTAGACAGTTTCTTGGAATTTGCAATACTGGGGAGAAAATGTTAAATTTACTCCAACTAAATATTACAGTAAATTGAATTTTGATTAAGTTTTCTGAATTGTCACCGATACTGTCACGAACTACTTCGATATTCTCATTGTACGACTAGTGTGTTGGGCAAATCCAAAGGAACATGTCTAATAAATTTTTCAATTAATCTCATCAATCGACTTGTAGACTTTGGTTCTCGTTCGTTACATCACTTTTCAACTGACTACTCAGTCCAAAGTCTTTTTTTGTTGGCTAGAGTGATTCCGCGTTGGATTTTCAGGCTTACATTGTTCTTGGCGTTAAAATTGGTTTCAAGATAGATAACAGTGACATGAGAGCCGAGTCGCGAATGCGATGGCTGTTCGTGTGATGACGGAAGATACCAGACCCATATAATTTGCTTCCTTATCCAGCCTGGAGTAAGCAGAAGTCATGGCGCGGTTGTTGAGGCCAATAATGTCAATATTAGCGGCGTACGCCAGCAGCTGTACACTCTTATAGAAGAATACTGTACTCTATTCAGCTAAGCAGCTTTTATTATTCTCTTCAGCATCAATTTGATGAAATCACACGACAAAGAGTCACGCTGTCTGAAACCTTGCTTGGTACCGAACGGCTCGGAGAGGACCTTCCCAATCCTGACGCAGCTTTTAGTGTTGTTTAAGCTCAGCTTACACAGGGATGCAGTTCTGCGGAGCGGAGAGACAGCTAATTACTGTGCTGACGAAGGCTTCTTTAAAATCGAAGAGGTGGTGTGTGACGTTGCACTTTTTACGGGTCTCTTCCAAGAGTTTGCGAATGAGGAATATCTGTTGATTCACCAGGACTAAAGTCACACAGATAAGCTCTTATCGATTTGTGGAAGGTGGGCTTTAGTCTTTCACACAAAACGCTGAAGAGGACCTAATAAGCGATATTAAGTAGGCTTATTCCACAGAAATTGTTGCAGATGGTGGTATCGCCTTTTTTGTGGGTTGGGCAGAGTATAAATAGATAATCGTAGGGCATGCTTTCAGCCGACTATATTTTGCAGAGCAGGTACTTTGCCAGCACTCCATCGTTATATTTAAATAGCTTAATCGTTAAGCCATCAGCTCCAGCCGCTTTGCTATTTTCGAATCACATTATCGTATAAGAATTTTTTTCCATCGACATCTATTGGGGTTTGTGTTTGCCATCTCTGGGTGTTTCATTTTCCCTGCCATTTAATAGGTTGAAGAAGTATTCCCTTCATAAGTTCAGTATACGCTAAGCATGAGTCACTAGATCATATCTCTATGATGTATATATATGTATATATTGTGAAAAAATCCGTTTAACATATGCAAGTGTATAAAATATAGTTTCTTAATTCTAATAACAACGTGAAAAAAATTGTGTGTTTTATATTTTTAAAAATTTAAATTTATGCTGCAACATTACGATGTTTACCACACACACACCAAACCACGTTCAATAACATAAAAGCAATTAAATCATTTGTAAGATAAGAAACAGCAATTGCGGCCACTAAAAAAAGAAAAAGAAAAACAACTTGCCACAACAGCCCTTGTATATACTCGCACATGTGCTAAGCGTCTTCACAAATGCAATGAATGTAAACTTCAAAGTCGCTTCAACCCACTTTGCTGCGTTGGTGGCACCGCTACGGCTCAATTTGATAGCCGAAAAATTTCCGCATTTTCAAGTTTCCTTATGTGTCGGTGGCCTGGCACTATGCAGTTGCTTTTGTTGTAACGTATCACTTTGTATTTTCAATTTTACACGCGCTTTCGTTGATTATACGAGTAGTATGTATTTTTTCCTTGTAGTGGTGAATTTTTGATGAATATTTTCTTAGTGAATTGTAAACATTTGATGTCAGCTGTTGCGCGTTCATTCAGACACCGTTGCAAAGGCAATTTCGTTTACTGTTTTGTTTTTTCTTCTGTAATCTTATTATATGTATATTTCGTTACAGTTGTTATTGTTGGGTAATTATGAATATCATGCTGTTAGTAAGTCAACGAGTTGCTTGAATTTAAATTGGTTGTGCAAAAGCAAGTGTTCCACAAGCCCTCTAAGTATGTATGTATGTATGTATGTATGCATAGCAGTGCAATGTAGTTAAATACTAAAGTATCACATAAAATATTTGTGTTGCTGATTTCTTAAATTTACTCCCCAGGTGAATTGCTGTAACACCGTTAATAAATTTACGGCAAAAATAAATGGTAGTTTTTATTCATTTGAAACTCTAAAACATTTTTAATAACAGGTAGACCTATGAACCACAAGTTGCTGTATGCAAGCACAATATAAAAATTGCATAGTACATTTGTTTTGTGGTGCCGCAAGAGGAAATCCAGTACTACGTTATTAGGCACCTCAATCGCTCTTAGGCATATGTCCAAATGTAACGTGTACTTTGTAGGCAAACTAGTTGCCCGACTGTATATACTCGTGGTGGCCGCGTTAGCCGCGAGGTTAGCATTGCGTACTGACATTCGGAAGACTCGGTTTCACATCCTGGTGTCGTACTAGCATCCAAAAACTTATAAAATTTAATTAAGTTAAATTTTCCAATTGCGGTCGCCGCTCGTCAGAGAATGTCCACTCGGACATGAAATAAAGGCTCCTCATAAAAAACCATCAGGCGGCTTAATGTAAACGCAGGACCCTCCATTTGTTGGAAAAACCACAAATTGGAGAAGGTGCTCGGCCGAAAATCGCTTATTAATTATATATATATATACCCGTAACTAAAATCTAATACAAATAGAAAGAGCTGAATATATGTATGTCGTTCTAGTGCCATCTTGTTGAACGTAATTAGCATCGAAGTTAACTTCCGAATTCATAAAAATTTTGAAGGTAGTTGTTTA